CTCTAAAAACATTGGGCGTTGTGGTGGGCTTCTATAGTTCCAGCTATGTGGGAGGCTGAAGGCAAGAGAATAGCTTGTGCCCAGGAGTTTGAGATTGCTGTGAGCTGTGATACCATAGCACTCTACCAAGGGTGACAAAATGAGACTCTGTCTCAAAAAAAAAAAGAAGCAAGCAAGCAAGAAACAACAACCAACAAAGTATGGCTATTCACAGTTGGGTATTTGGAGAAGTATTCTTTTCTTTTCTTTTTCTTTCTTGCTTTTTCCTTCCTTCCCTCCTTCCCTCCTTCCCTCCTTCCCTCCTTCCCTCCTTTCTTTGTTTCTTTCTTTCTTTCTTTCTTTCTTTCTTTCTTTCTTTCTTTCTTTCTTTCAGACAGAGTCTTACTATGTTGCCCTTGGTAGAGTGCTATGGCATCACAGTTCACAACAACCTCAAACTCTTGGGCTTAAGGGATTATTTTGCCTCAGCCTCCCAAGTAGCTGGGACTACAGGTGCCCGCCACAGCACCTGGCTATTTTCAGAGATGAGGTCTCTTGCTTGGCTCAGGCTGGTCTTGAGGCTTGCTCTGAGCTCAGGCAATCCACCCACCTGGCCTCCCAGAGTGCTAGGATTACTGGTGTGAGCCACCACACCTGGCCAAAACTAATAGATTTATTGAAACATAATTCTCATTCCATAAAATTGATCCTTTTGAGATGTGCAATCCAGGGGTTTGGGGTATATTCACAGAGTTGGGCAATCATCAGCACTATCTAATGTTAGAACGTGTTCAGTTCAATGAGAAACCTCAGGAAGAAACTTGGAATGAGCATCTGGGACCAAAATTAAGTGTGTAACAGTATTTTTAGAGCTCAAAACCCTTTTCTCTAACACAAATCAAAGTCCGGAGGTTTTGACTTATTCACCAAGTTGACCATCCAATAGCAAATGGGAAGAAATGCCTCCAGGAATGGAAGCAGCTCTGGGCTTTTATTCTTTTCTTTCTGGAATTTCCTTCATTCTGATTTTATGAATTGTAGGTCAGTCCTTCTCACTGGCCCAGAGACCTATACTGACCATCTGAGTTGAAATATGGATCTTTTTTGTTTGGATGCTACAGAAATGGAGTAGACTCAATTATGCAGGGATTTTTCAGAGGGCAGACAGGCAGATTATAATATTCAAAAATGGCCGCAATTCCTCCATCGAGAGGTGGAGGGTCCATATTCCCTCTCCTTGAACTATGCCCCTTTTCCTCTGTTACTCCTTGACCAATACGGTACAGCTAGGTGCCTTACAAGGCTACATTATAAAAGGCCGTCCAGCTGCTACCTGGCTCCCCCTCATGGGACACCCCCTCTGGCAACCCAGTGACCATGTTAAGATGAAGCCCAGGACACTCGGAAAGGCCATATGTCCATATTCCAGCCAAGAGCCCCAGAGAAGGGCGAGAGATTAGAATTAGAGAAGAGATTTCCCCACAAAGCACTGCCCAATTTACAAATTTGTGAGCAAAATATATATTGTTGTTTGAAGCCAATAGGTTTGGGATGGTTTGTTACACGGTAATAGAATGGAACAAGAAATCTTGGCATTAAGACAATGATTACATTTTTCCCTGCGCAAGGCAAAACCTCCTTTAGCCCCCCACCCCCAAGAATGTTAGTGACATTAACAGCTCTCGCTGTGACAGAAAACAAAGCACTTTCACCCATTCTACAGCAGAAACATCAACCCTCCCTTCCTTCTTCATTGTAAACAATGACATTTGTTTTCTGATATTAACAGTTTTTGTAATCATTGTAGAAAATTCAGAAAAACAAGAATTTAAAAATCAGAATTAAAATGATTGGACTCCTAGCATTTATACGCTTAGCAATTTAGCTCCTTTAGTCTTTTGTCCTTATATACACAGAAATTGGTTTTACAAAACATGGGTCTTTTTGGAACAGTAAGAATGATATGGGCCCATCACTCACCAATCATATTTGAACTTTTTGTCAGGTGCCTAGGTGGACACTGGAAAAGGGGAGGAAGAGAGAAGGAGTTCTCAGCCTTGGCCTTGACTCCATGAGCTACATTAGAAGGGGTACCCAGGTGTTGCCTGGTGAACATTTGGGGCGACTGCTATTTTCCTGGCAGGGGCAAGGCAGGGACAGGTCACAGAATAGGGGGCATATTCTATCTACAAGGCCCCTGGTAGACACAGCTCCTGCCCCCCACAGGTGATGTGACCGCTTGCATTGCACACACACAGTTCTTTCCCATCTGGAAACACTTCTATGCAAAAGTGGAATTGCATTCAAAATCCATTTCTAATAATTCAAGATTATTATTATTATTTTTTTGAGACAGAGTCTCACTCTGCCTGGGTAGACCAAAGTGGCATCTTTGTAGCTCACTGCAACTTCAGACTCCTTGGGCTCAGTCCTTCTGCCTCAGACCACAAAGAATGTTCAACATGACATTCGTAAGTGAGAAAGAAGGAAGAGCTGTTAGATTCTTTAAATTTAATGTGAACTTTTATACATTTCAGCATATAAAAAACAGTTTAAGGCCAGGAGCACTGGTTCACACCTGTAATCCTAGTCTGGGAGGCTGAGGTGGGTGGATTGCTTGAACTCACGAGTTCAAGACCAACCTGAGCAAAACCCAGACCCCATCTCTACTAAGAATAGAAAAAACTGAGGCAAGAAGATCACTTAAGCCCAAGAATTGGAGGTTGATGACCTATGACACCATGGCACTCTACCCAGGGTGACAGCTTGAAACTCTGTCTCAAAAATAAATAGTCGGCTCGGCGCCTGTGGCTCAAGTGGCTAAGGCGCCAGCCACATACACCTAAGGTGGCAGGTTCGAATCCAGCCTGGGCCCACCAAAACAACAATGACAGCTGCAACCAAAAAAAATAGCTGGGCGTTGTGGCGGGCGCCTGTGGTCCCAGCTACTTGGGAGGCTGAGGCAGAAGACTCGCTTGAGCCCAGGAGCTGGAGGTTGCTGTGAACTGTAATGCCACAGCACTCCACCCAGGGGGATAGCTTGAGGCTCTGTCTCAAAAAATAAATAAATAAATAAACAAACAAACAATTTAGGCTCCGTGCTGGTAGTTCAGTGGTTAGGGCACTGGCCACATACACCAGTGCTGGTAGGTTCAAACCCGGCCCAGGCCTGTGAAACAACGACAACTACAACAAAAAAATAGCCAATAGCTAGGTGTTGTGGTGGGTGCCTGTAGTTTCAGCTACTTGGGAGGCTGAGGCAAGAGAATCACTTAAGCCCAAGAGTTTTGAGGTTGCTGTGAGCTGTCATGCCACAGCGCTCTGCTGAGAGCAACATAGTAAGACTCTGTCTCAAATACATAAATAAATAAACAAATAAACAGTTTAAAAATTTTATTACTGGGCAGCGCCTGTGGCTCAAAGGGGTAGGGCACTGGCCCCATATGCCAAGGTGGCCGGTTCAGGACCAGCGCTGGCCAAAAACTGCAAAAAAAATTTATTATCTACTCATGCAAAGTTTCTTGTTGATGGAGACTACTAAGAATTTTAAACTTTTTTTTGGGGGGGGTGAAATATGTCACATAAAATGCTCAAAACAGATGTGACAACAAAGTGAACCTCCTAGTCACTACTACCAGGTTGGGAAGTGTCATGAAAAAATTGGTATTTGCAGAACCAAGTCAACTTGTTCAGCTGTGATGTTTAGATTTTTATGCCGGGGGAACAGTGGCAGCTGTAGTCCCAGCAAAATGGATGGGGTAGGCGATATCGTAAGCCTGGAGTTCCAGGCCAGCCTGAGCAACATATGGAGAACCTGTCTCTTAAAAAATATTTTGATACTTTTGTTTTTAGAAAAACCCCCATATTTTCCCTAATAGCTCTTTTTTAAAAATAACATTTTAATCACCGGGTCCATACAGATTACCTGAATCCCAATCCCCCCCCACCCAGGTCCTCTACCTGCTGTCCACCCATGACAAAGGCTGGCCCTTGGTCTCAGGAGCCACTGCCTGAGGGGCACAGGAGTCGCCAGGGCAGGAGCAGACCCGTGTTTACAAGATTCTTCTCAGGGCTTGGCTGATGTAACAGCCATCGGCAGCACCCTTCCTTAGGGACAATGACTACTGTACTTGTTTTTACTGTCTAGTTTAAAATGCTTACTTATTTCTTTATTTTCAGGGGTGATTTTTTTTCCTTCTTGTATGTTTCACAGAAAAAAAGTTAGAACGAGTTGTGCTTGATTTCCGAGAGAAGCAGGTCTTTCCCCTCTAACTCGCTCTCTCTTTTTTGTTTGCTTACTTGTCTTTAGTATTTTTAGTATGTTTTGAAAACATGTCTTTTCTTTTCTTTTTTTTTTTTTTTTGAGACAGAGCCTCAAGCTGTCCCCCTGGGTAGAGTACCATGGCATCACGCTCACAGCAACCTCCAACTCCTGGGCTCAAGCGAGTCTCCTGCCTCTGCCTCCCAAGTAGCTGGGACCACAGGCGCCCGCCACAACGTCCGGCCATTTTTTGGTTGCAGCCATCATTGTTGTTTGGCGGGCCGGGCTGGGGATTCGAACCCGCCACCTTAGGTGTATGTGGCTGGCGCCCTAGCCGCTTGAGCCACAGGAGCCGAGCCAAAACATGTCTTTTCAATGAGTGTTTGAAAAGCGGCTCTGCTCACCCCGCGCTCCCCGCGGGCGCCACCCACTCCCGGACCTCGGCGCGCATGGGAGCCCGCCTGAGACGAGGGGCGCGTGGGTGCCACCGGGGCGCTCCCCTGCCCCACCTCGCCTGTCCAGCGCCGCGAGCGCCTCCCGCTCCGGGACCAGAAAGGAACCGCCCTCACGATCGTGAAACAAAACTTTTGTCCTCTCCCCTTTCCTCGGGAGCGGCCGCGAGCGGCAAGGTCAGAGTTGATCCAGGGGCCCATGCCCTGGCCCGGGGGGCGGTCACCCTCCAGTCCCCAGCCCCGGGGAGGAGCAGCGGGTCGGAATCCCAGGGACGCGCAGACACCGTCCCGCCAGCTGGGCGGTCCCCGAGTCCCGGCACCTCCTTAAAGCCGCGGCTCCGCCCCGCCCGCCGGCGATTCCGCCCAACCGTCTGGTCCCCGCCGCCTCGGTGGAGTGTCCTAAAGCCACGAGCCCGCTTGGAGCGCGCCGCCCGCACCGTCCTGTGCCGGGGCCCGGGTCCCCGCGTCCTTCGATCCGCCGTCATGGCCAGCGAGGAGCTGGCACGCAAGCTGCAGCGCCGGCTGCAGCTCGAGGAGACCGAGGAGGGCGGTCCGCAGCTGGCTCCCCCCGACGCCCCAGCCCCGGAGCCCGGGCTGGAGCCCGTGCCGCCCGCCCGGGCGTCCACGGCCAGCGCCGACGCTGAGCTGAGCGCCCAGCTGAGCCGGAGGCTGGACATCAACGAGGGCGCCGCGCGGCCCCGCCGCTGCAAGGTCTTCCACCCTTACTCCGAGTTTCCGGAGTTCAGCCGCCGCCTCATCAAGGACCTGGAGAGCATGTTCAAACTGTGAGTGCCTGCACTGTGCACCCCGCCGACCCGGGGCCGGGGAGGACAGAGGTGTGACGGGAGTGGGAAGCGGAGTACCCTCTGGCAGCGAGTCTCCCGCCCTGCTGGGCTGGGACCAGGTGGGATGGAAAGGCAGGGGTTCCAGGGCCTCACTAGCCTTCGGTACCACGCAGCCAGATCCTGAGCGCCCGCGTGGGTCCCAGTGCTGTGGGGCACCGGGCCGGGCTGGGGACCCGAGGGCAGGGGCTGCGCTTTCTCGGACGCAGCCCAGACATGCCGCCCCCGCCCCCCGCCCGGCCCTGGCGGCTGGGTCAGAGATTGTTCCGAGCGCAATTTCTAGGAAAGGGTACTTCTCCGCGCCTCACCTGTCTGCTTCAACTTTATCCCCCAAGGGAGAAATTAGCCCCTGATGTGCCTTTCTCTTTTAAAACCAAAGGAGAAAATTAATCCTTGGCTGCTCCGCGGGTCCTGGGAACTGAAAGTTGGTTAAAGTCCCTGCGAGGAAAGCAGGACGTCCTAGAGCGAGCGCAGCTGGGGAGCCTCCCGGGGCTCCGTCTCGCCTGTTCCCAGCTTCCTGCCTCTCGGGTGGGAAGCGCCAGTGGACCGGACTTAGGCGCTGGCACCGGCCCAATGAGGGTTAGTTCCAGTCCGGCTCTGTACCCAGGGCGACACTCAGCGAAAGAGGCAGAAAGATCCCTGGTGGCCTGGGACCTCCCTGGGCCTCAGTTTCCTTTTCTGGAGAGTCTCTGCCTTTTAAGGCCGTAGAGTATTTTGCACCCTATAAGCTCCTAACTGATCTATTAATATTATTTCCAGAATTGAGCTGTGACCGGAAAAATGCCTGGGGGAGCTGAGGCCTGACGGCCAGGTCATGCTTGGGGCGTTTTTTAAAAGCGCTTGGAATGTGTTTGTGTTCTGCGTGGTGGTTCTATTTAAAGGCGCCCTGGCTGCTGCCTGCCAGGCCCTCTCCCCTGCTCAGAGGTCTGCATAGGGGCACCTGGGAACCTCTGGCCCATCAGCTTCCCTGATACCCTCTCCTGGCTTCCCCGCACTGGCGTCTGACGTTCGCTGGGTCTAGTCTGGTCAACTCAGAAAGGCGGAAGAATGAGACTGGGGCTACGATGGAAAAGCAATAGGGGAGGCGACGATTTGTCAGACCCTTTTAATTTATCTAGGGTTATGCCATTCAGGGGACACTGCTGTGGCCCAGCTGCTCCCACGTGGCAGCCCTTCCTCCCAGTCATCCTGGATCCAGGCAGGGCATCTTGGGGACTGACCTTGAGCTTCAGGTTGCTTTGTGCTCACTCAGGCTTCTTTGGTGTTTCCTGCAGAACAGTCTTTGGAAGGGTAAGTTTGCTACTCTGCTGCCTAAGAGTAATGGCGTCCAGGCAGTCAGAGGGTCTTGGGGGACCCAAGGTGGCATATTCCAGGAACCAAATCCTGGACCAAGATCAAGCTAAGAAGAAAGCGGTGTGTGGTCCCAACAGACCTGACATTTCACTGCACATGATATTTCTTTCTGGTTTGGGTTTTATGTAACTTGAAACCAAATTTGGCATAAACAGGGAATTGGCTTATGAAACCAAAAAGGCATTACTAGATTCAGGTATGGCTAGATCTAGGAGCTCAGATGATGTCATCACTTTTTTTTTTTTTTTGAGACAGAGTCTCAAGCTGTCACCCTGGGTAGAGTGATGTGGCATCACAGCTCACAGCAACCTCAAACTCTTGGGCTCAAGCCATTCTCTTCTCTCAGCCTCCCAAGTAGCTGGGATTGTAGTTGTCATTCTTGTTTGGCAGGCCGGGGCTGGATTTGAACCCACCAGCTCTGGTGTATGTGGCTGGTGCCTTAGCTGCTTGAGCTACAGGAGCTGAGCCTTTCTTTTTTTTTGAGACAGTCTCAAGTTATCACCCTGGGGAGAGTACTGTGGCGTCACAGGTCACAGCAACCTCCAGCTCTTGGGTTTAGGCGATTCTCTTGTCCCAGCCTCCCGAGTAGCTGGGACTACAGGTGCCTACCACAACACCAGCAATTTTTTTTGTTGTTGTTGCATTTGGCTGGGCTGGGTTCAAACCTGCCACCCTCGGTATATGGGGCCAGTGCCCTACTCACTGAGCCACAGGTGCCACCCTCAATGCTTTTTCTTAAGCCAGCTTCCTCGTTGTGCTGTTCCATTCTCGATGGCTCATCCCTGGTGTGGCAGCATAGCCATAGCAGCTTAAATAAATCACATACAAATGTTAAACATCTTGAAGTGTGCATAAACTGGCCCTTTGTTGCCCAGTCATGGCAGCAGCAATCCTGTGGGGCTGAACTTGGAGCCAAGTTTCCTGTGTTCAAACCCCACCCATACAACTTGCTACTTTGGGAAGCTTCCTTTAAAGTTCTGTGCCTTCAGCTTTCCCTTCTGTCAAATGGGAATAGAACAGGTCCTGCCTGTGGGATTATTCCGAGGATTAGAAAAATTAATGTATGTGAGGCATTTAGCTAAAGCCTATGGTGAAGGCCCAGTGGTTTTCAGTTAGTAATTTTTAGATTATCACAGAGCTGTGATTCCGATGGATGTGCAAATTTTGTGTTTCTTTGTTTAATAATTCTCTTTGCCAAGTCTGAGTTATCCTCACAGACTGGTTACTTGATGAGTTATGGGTCCACTTGGAACTCTGTGATTTGCCCTGCTGGGTTCTGTGGAAGGGACTTGTTAGCTCCACTGCTGGGTGAGTGTATTAGTTTCCCAAACAAAATACCACAAACTGGCTAGCTTAACACCACAGAAATGTATTCTCTCACGGTTCTGGGAGCTGGAAGTCTGAAATCAAGGTGCCAGCATGTCCATGCCCGCTCCAAAGGCTCTAGGGGAGAATCCTTCCTTGCCTCCCTCCTACCTTCTGGTGGTTGCTGGCAATCCTTGACATTCCTTGGCTAACAAGGCGTCACTGCAACATCTGCCTTCGTCACCATCTGTGTATATTTCTGTGTCTTCATGTGACCTTCTGATAAGGACACCAGTCATCGGATTTAAGGCCCACCCTAATCCCATATGACATCCTTTTAATTGAACTTGCTACAAATCTTCAAAGACTATTTCCAAATAAGATCACATTCTTATGTTCAGCGCCTGTAGCACAGTGGTTATGGGGCCAGCCATATACATCGGGGGTGGTGGGTTCCAAGCCGGCCCAGGTCACCTAAACAACAACAAAAAAGAAACACCCAGGTGTTGTGGTGGGTGCCTGT